CCTTAGTCCTGCTCCCGGCTGTGATGAACTACAGGGGAAGGACACAGAGCAAAATCAGCAAAGGGAGAAAGCATGTGCCGGGAAGCCCAGAGAAGACCAACCTTCCAGGAGTCCTGTGCCGGTGGAGTTACACCAAGAGTGCTTAACTCCTCAGCACCTGGGCTGTCAACCAGAAAGCTCATCAGAGACTGAGCACCAAAGGTTTTTCATGGGAGCTGGTCATGTGGGTACCCTCTGCTTAACCTGTGCCAGAATTCCAGACTCCTGGAAGGAAAGCAGGTGTTCAGCATAAGCCACATGGTTTGTACAAACCGTCTAGGTACAGGAAACCACCCTTACCAGGTAGAGAATGGTGAATCACTAAATCTAAGTTCCCAGCTGCCAGCCAAGGGCCAGCCTTGAAAGCAAAGCCTTTCTAAGGATAGAAGCCTCCAGCTGGCTATGTTAACTCTTTTCTGCACATGTCTATACGTAGGGGTGGAATTTCTGGTTCACATGGTCACTTTATGTTTAACTTTTTATGCCAAACTGTTTTCCAAAGCAACTGCACCATTTTCATTCTCACCAGCAATTTATGAAGGTTTCAGTTTCTCCACATCCTGGCCAACACTTGTTATTGTCCATCTTTTTTATTATAGCCTTCCTAGAAGGGCGAATAGGTTTTTAAGTTAGTGATTTGCAAGCATTTGGAATGAAAAATGAAGATTCTTTGGAGCCAAAATAGGTTCTCTAAGAACAAGTCATGCCCAATCTAATCCCGGATTTTCCTTTTATGAAAAGGCAGTTTTTTTTCTGTACTAACTGTACTAGGGCAGAGGGCTTTTGTATTTCAGTCCTGTCCTTCACAGTATCTTTGTGTACAAAGCAGAGGCCGAGGGGTCGTACTGATTGTTTGGCGGGCTCCTCGCTTGCTGGCAGATGACACTCAGAGCAACACTGGATCCAGGAGGGAGGTCCCCTGCTGCTGTGTCCCCAGTGCTGTCCTCAGCCCTGCTGTTTAATATTTCGGTCCAAAACCTTGGGGGAGACCCAGTTGGCAGTCCCATCAAGTCTGCAGATTACCCAAAGCAGGCAGACACACACACACACACACGGTGAATGGTAAGACCTGGTTCCAGGAAGATCCTGGCAGCATGGAATGGTAGGCAGAGTCCAACAAGATGAAATTATTATGGACAAATGGCATGTCCACACACATAGGATCTCTGGTCCAGATGTAAGCAGGGAGTTTGCATTTTGGTTTCTGCTCATAAAAAATGGGCAACAAAGCCCTGGGTGACCTGGAAAAATGTTATGATGTGTGTGATGGCAGGTACAGGGATCCGGACTACCAGAAGGGAGCAGCTGAAGGGGCCAGGCTGCCCAGCTGGCCAGCAGGGAGCCTCGGGTGACTTGAGAGTGGGCTCCCCCTGGCTGAAGGTCTGTGGTGTAGAAGCAGTTTGAACTGTCTTCCCATGGCCCATAGGGGAAAATAGATTTGGATTGATTAAGGACAGAACTTTGTGAAACTATGACCCAATGGACTTCCAGGTAAGGTGGTGAGCACCCTGTCACTGAGGTGTTCAAAGAGAGATTACTTAATCCTTTGTTAAGGACTTTGCATGGAGCAAGAAGTGGCTGTGGTAACCTTTGAGGTCTTAGAACTGCCTGAGCATGAAGCCAGAAACTGTCCATCTTTAAATCCAAACCCAGGGATCACAAGGCACATATCACCAGTTCTAGAATGAGATTAGCCTTTCTCTGGGTCATCCTCTTCTGGTGCCCCTCATGGTCCTATTTGTCCAGCAGGACACTTGGGTACCCATGCAGCATCCCTTGAGACGCACTCTGCCCTCTTCTGAGTGTCTCTGTTGCTCAGAAGCTCCTCCCCTCTCACCCATTACATATCTTACCTGTGACATGTGTGGTCCATTTGACATATCAAATCTTCCAGCCATGGGTTTAACTCCAGAGCCCATGTTCTTGTTTGTTCTTACATTTGTTCAGCAAACATTTAATGAGCACCGATTATTCACCCATCCCAGGATGAGTTTCCTGGCATGCAGCAGTGAATTGGGGGGTGGGGGGACTGACAAAAGAGTTGCAAGTTTAAAAACTTGGCTGCAGGCTGCTGTAGGGCTTGGCATCAGGAATTGCGGGGTAGGAGTGGGGGCCTGACTTAGGCTCAGCTGGAGAGGAGGCCTCCCTGCCAAAGTGCCCTTCCAGCTGGGGTCTGGAGGAAGATAAGCAGTTGGCAGGGAGGGAGAGGGTGGGGGCTGGGAGAGCATTCCCACTGTGGCTACTGCCCAAACTGGCTGAGCACAGAATAGGATTCCTGGCAGGTGCTTGCTTAGGGTGTTAGGAGGGACTGCCTGGCTTGGGGGAGGGGGCGGTCTTCTCCCTGTGCCCTGCCCATCGGGCATCTGGGCTGAGCCGCTTGTGAGCCATGACTATGTTTGAGGGTCTGTGTGTATTTGTGTGTGTGTGTGTATGTGTGTGTGCAGCTCTTGATCGCCTTCTGAAGCCAGTCCCAAGTGACGCCGGGATTAACTGTGCCTTCATTCTCCTCCATTGACGTGGATGACTGTGAGAACAGGCTGCGTTCCAAACGTCTGCACAATCCTGCAGTGACAGCTCCTTTGAGAACATGCAGATACCTATGATTCTCTTAATTGCCTCTGTACACCCACCGCTCTCTCTCTCCCTTTTAAGCAAGATGGGTTTTGAGGGTGGGTGCCTTCCTCCCCCTCCAGACCTCTGCTCCTTCTTTCCTGCTGTCATTTATGTGTTAACAGCCTCCTGCTGCTCTCCCACCACCACTTCCCCTCCTTTCCCTCACAATGACTTAATCAAGGGGCCCCCAGATAAGAGAGACTGAAGGAGGAGACCAGGCTCCCTTAAGCACTCATACCCAGCAATTAGTTTCCGTTATTGCCAATTCCAGATAAGTAGAAAATAACAGAGGAATGGAACAGGGACTCAAAGCTCATGCCAAGTGCTTGGCATGCATTACCATGACATTTTTCATGTGTGTCTCATGGAAGCCACATACCAGGTGGGGTCTGCTGGCCTGGGACTTAAAAGAGCTGAGTTCCAGTCCTGCTGGCTCTGCTGTCTTGACCACTTTCTTTCTCCTGAGCTTCAGTTCCTTCACCTGTGAAATGGAGAAGGGGGTACTAGTTATTCTGCCATTTGACAGAGAACCTGAGCCTATAGACCTGTCCAGTCTGCCCTCCTGGCCAGCACATTTGGGCAGCAAAGGCAAGCTGGCAGTAGTGAGGGTCCACATGTGCCTCAAAGAGATGGCTTCTAAGCCTTGGCACCAGAGCATGGAGAAAGCAGGTGGAGATGTCTAGAAAGAGGGGTGCTGAGGCAGGAAAGCAGGCTGGAAGACAAAGAGAAGAAAAGCAACAGGATGCTGGGCAGTGTCTGGAGATGAAGTGAAAAATAGAAATAAATATGTAATAGGTCCGTGGTTCTCAGATGCAGATGCAGTCCACAGGCCAGCAGCATCAGGGGGAACTTGATAGAAAGGCAAATTCTCGGCCCCACCCCAGACCTGCTGAATCAGAAACTCAAGGACGGGGCTGGAAATCTGGTTTAATGAGCTCCCCTGGTGTTGCTGATAGCCGCTAACCCGTGAGAACTAACAGGATGGTGGACGGGTGAGGCTTGGAGAACCAGACCAGAATTTCAAGTGCTGAGGAGGGAAGAGGATCAGTATTTGTTGATCACTTGCTGTGCCAGGTTGGAAACTAGGCATCTCCAGCTGCTTTCTTTCATTTAAACTTTTCAGGATTGTGGCAAAGCAGGCTTTGTTTTTCCATTGCAAAGATGATGCAACTGAGGCTCAGAGACTCAGAGTTTAAACTCATGAGTTTAGTCACTTGATAAAGTTAAAAAGATAACAGCAGGAGTAGGATTAGAACCCAGGCCTGTCTGGCCCCAAAGCCTAAGTTCTTTCCACCGCACCAGGCTGCCCTCCTGTCTCTCAGCTGTGCCTCCACTGCCTGCCCTGGCTCCCCACTCTGCCCCACAGTCACCCCAGAGCTCTGCTCTGCTGCCCTCCTGCAGCCTGCCATGCAAAGGAAAAAAGGGAAACTGAAGGATGGGGTGGAAGGGCTGGGGGCAGACTGTCATCTTGCACTGCTCCAGCCTCCCATGCTAGGCGCAGCTACAGGACCAGGGTGCTTGTGTATGCTCCTGAGGGGCCGGCATAGCTGCAGTAATGCAGTGAGAATCATGCATGCCTGGGCTGACAAGGTCAGCAAATACTCATTGGTATTTACATATGCCAACCCTATGCTGGCTGCTATAGGGGAAACTGAGGCAAGGGAAGCTTATGGTATAGAACAGGGAAGCAAAAACAGTAATTAGCTGGGGTACTAGGGAGCTTGAGATGGTCAGGGTGGATCAAGCCAAGTGTTAGAGGAGTTCGAAGAGACTCATACAGTAACTTTAGGAAACAGAACAAAGGCTTTGGAGACATACCTCAGGCTTCAGAGCCAGAAGGCATGGGTTCAGTTCCCAGCACTCTCACTGACTCAGTGGGTAACCTTGACAAGTTCCCTGTCTTTGGCCTACACCCTTACTACAAGAGGGAGTTAACAATTGCTTGCTCAAGGGATTGTTCTAGCAGATTACAACAGGCACCACTCAGTCAGTTGAGCCCCTTCAGGGGATCAATTCAGGCCAGAGCAGAGCAGAGGAGGCTTCATGGAAGAGGTGGCTCTTCACTTTGGCACTGAAAGATGGCTAGAATGTGTTAAGTGCTTTCTGGGTCTTCTCTGAGGAGTCTGTGGTTAGACTTCAGACTTGTGAGGTTGTCTGGGGAGAAAGGCCTGCCAGGTAGCCGTAACTATGAATGAAATTATGGTGAGAGGAAGTCATCTTCCTCAATTTGGAAGATTATTTTTTAAATGTGGTTTCAAATCCTGTTGCAAGGGGCAAAGGCAGGTGGCCAGTCCACATTGTTGGAAATCACCACACTCAGGTCCTCTGTTTTCTGCTCTTTCTTGCAGATGATGCAGTTTGCCTGGCAGAGCTACAAGCGCTATGCCATGGGGAAAAATGAGCTCCGGCCACTCACAAAAGACGGCTATGAGGGCAACATGTTTGGTGAGTTGGTATCACGGGGACCGACTGCCCCACTGGAGGCCAAGTGGAACTTTATTTTTTGCTTTTCATCTCTTGAGTTGTGCTCCTATTTCTCCAGACCTGAGGAATTCAAAAGCTGAGGTCCTTCTGGGCTGTTTGGGTTTCTGAGCCTTCTAGCTTTGGGGGAAATCCATATGCTTCTCTCTCACTTACACACTTCTTTGAATGTACTTGCCATTTGTTTTTTTAGTGTAAACACATTTGGAAATGTGAATGGGGATGGTAAGGGATGGAGAAAGTTTGGAGTTTGGAAGGACACAGAGGACTGGGTTTAAGTCCACTCCTCTGAGCACAGCTGAAAGTGATCTTGGGTGTTTTCATAGAGAAACCAAATGCCTTTCCTATGAGGTGGGCATACACACGGCTTTTAAGATCTTGGAGTGTGTCTCTTGCCTGGGACTTGGCGGACAAGTAGAACCGTCACACGTTAGGGAGCTGCAGAGGTGCTGTCTTAGGTCAGCAGCTCGTGTTTGATCTGCAGCCTCGCTTGCTGATGTCTCCTCCCTTTCCAGCCACGAGATTCCCCTAACCCAGAGCCTTGAAAGCCTCTCTCAGCTGGAGAGACTGCAAGGTGCCTTATTGTGAGCACGGCCTCAGATTTCAGATTTAACACCCATCCAAGTTGCCAGCTCTCCTCACTGTGGGCCTTTCATGTGAAAAAATGCTGGAGACAGCCTGGCTTCCTTCTTGCCTGAGAGACAGGACAGTTGGCTGGGGCCGGAGATGGAAATACATTATCTGAATTCCTCACCCTTTAGAGACACAGGCTTCTGCAGTCAAGAAGTAAAGAACAAAGTCAGATGGAAAGTCCCAGGAAAATCTGAAAGGCAGGTTTACAAGGGATGGCCACCCACATGTAGGGTCCTATTAGAAGTGTTATGGGAAAAGGGACACTGGGCCTACCCTTTCTCCCTCTAACCAGTCAGCAGTACACCCTTTCTGTCTGTTCCCTGCCCTTGGGAGTGAGTGTGTGAATTGGGGTAGCTTTTGTTTTTTCTGATTATTCTGGAATGTAGGGGAAAAAAGTATCAAAAAGTATAAAACAGGCAAAAAAATAGCTCACTCTGCCACACAGATGCAGCCTTTATTGACATCTTGGCACATTTCCTTCTAATCTGTATGCTTTTTTCCCCTCTAAATGCAATTTTATGTCTTTTTTTTTTTGGCTTAATGTTACATCATAAGTGTCTCCCTAACTCATTTAAATTTTTTCATAAAGAATGTTCTTAATGGTTGCAGTCATTGCACGGATGTGCCGTAACTCACTTAACCATCCTGCTAATGTTGGACAAATGTTGTTTCCAATTTTTCGCTATTAAAAATAAATCAGCACTTATCATCTTTGTGCATAAAATATTGTCTTAAGATAGATTCCTAGAAAGGACTCCTGAGTCGGAAGAAAGGAAGACAGATGTTTCTTTAACCTCAAATATGAAATGTGTGGATTCCGGTTTACGAGCCTGACTGCCTAACCTGCCTATGCAGCAGACCTTCCCCAGCATCCCCCGTCAGCCTGAAGAAAGCTGGCAGGTGTGGCTTTCATCAGAGTCATTGGAGCTTTGGCTGCTAGTGTAAATCATGGTGAAGTCAAGGAAGCATCCCCTCTCCTTCTTTCTAAATAGTTTGCAAATATTCAGGGAATTGATGGAAGTTGGGGACAAGTTGATTTCTGAAACAGCACAGCATGGGCACAGCCATTGCGTAGACCATCCATGGGGATAGAGGGAACACCACTGGGGACACTGCTGAGAGGGACGGGGCTACACCATGTTCCAGTCTGAAAAATTCCTCAGGGTCTGCAATTTAAATCTCATCTCTCTGGCCCCTTTCCAATCCCTGAGCCTGATGGGGAGTGGGCAGCCTGGAATGGTAGAAAGAAACCCGGACCTTGAGTCAGAAGACCTGGGCGCAAGTCCTCACTCTGCCCTGAGTTGTCCAAGTCCAGGTCACTTAACCTCTCTGGGGTGCTGTTTGTTCATCCTTCATTCTGGGGCTGCAGTGAGAGTGTATGAATATGCAAAGGGCCAAGTGTATATCAGTGATTTATGATTCCATTGTCATAAATGTGGTTGACAGTTGCCCAGGTGAGCCTGTGGGGGTTCTGAGGTCCTCTGGGTTGTCTGTCTCCCAAAAGCAGCCTTGGCAGGGCCTGGGTGTCCCTTCACCCAGTGCCTACAGCAGTCATGGCAGTGAGGCAGGGCCTTCTTCTGCAGCCAGCAATTGAGCTACAGTGGATGGTTGGCTCCTTGGAAAGGGTGTGTAGGATCCTGGGCACTGGGCAGGGAGAGCTGGTCGGGATTTGCTTGTTCACTCAACAAATGCTTCTTTGTGCCGGGCTTGGTGCGGACTGCTAGGCACATAGGGATAAATGGCACAGGAAGGACTCCACCAAGCCTGTGGAGACATATACTGGTCACCCTCCCCAGGCCCTTGGAGCTCTCAGAGAGAAGGACAAATGATGGTGTGATCAATCCCTTACTGGCTTGAGGTTCTGTGCCTCCGGAGCCCGACACACCTGGAAAACACGCCCTGGCTGTGTGATCTTGGGCAAGTCATTTCTCTCTGAGCCTGAGTCTTTCTATAAACATTTCTCTCTGAAAACATCAAACCCCCAGCCCAGGGCCTCCCTGGAACACAGAACCTGCAGATAGGTAGTAGCTATGACTAGTGTCACCACAGATGGATCTGGTGATCCAGAGGCTTATGGAATGAACCAGAGGAGGAGGGTTAGGGGCCTTCTGGGAGCCTGGAGGAAGTTCTAGTTTGGGGTGGACCCATGAGGGGCTTTGAAGCCAGACTATTCCCAAAGACAGAAGGAGATGGACCGGCCTGAGCTAAGCTGCTTATCATACCACTTCTTTTTCTGGATGCATGTGAGCTGCTGGGTGGCATCATTCCTGGACTCTGGCCACAGCCATCATCAGTGACCTCACTGTAAGCTGGGCCTTGCTGGGATTGGTCAGGTGGCAGCAGTGACCATCCTGCCCCACTGGCCAAGTCCATGTGCAGAGACCCTGAGCTGCCTCCTGCACCTGGTACTCTTTGGACCTGGGCTCCTGCAGCCACCTCCCTGGGCCTGCGGGGCCTGGAGTAGTGTATACGGAGAAGAGTAACGAGTTCACGCTGGAGCCTGGCTTTGCAGGATTTACAGGAGCTGCAGTGAGGACATCAAATGCTGAGCCCAGCCTCCCCATACGGCGTTTCACCAGTCGAATTCCCTTCCCAATCATGCATGCTCCCTTTCCCTCAATCTGTTCTCGCTTTGAGAGCAAACCTCTGGCTGAGGTACCTCTCAAGCCAGTTTTTGTGTCCCAAATAATTCAGTATCTCCCCTTTTACCAACATGCAGTCCAGCAGGACCTGTCAGAAAATGCTCCCTAGACCCCAGCAGCTGGATGCAGCCTGCTCCACGCCGTGTGGCCCAGGCCAAGGCAGTTAGCTGCCTCTTCCCGCTTCCTCCAAGAGGTGGTGACATAAGTGGCTGGGGGTTGGAAAGAGATGGGCTTTGATCCAAGTGGTCTGAGTGGAGCCTTTCTGTTGCCACTTAGCAGCTGTTTGGCCTCCAACCACAGAGCAGGGCAGAGGACCCGGCCTCCTGAGTGACAGTTAGAGGCAAGACATGCAGAGGGCCTGAGCAGCACTTGATGGCAGTGCTCTTATCGTTATTAAGCCACAGAGGCGAATCTGCCCCTGAAGAATGCATTCGAAGGGGGGAGGGGAGGGGACAAGCCGTAAAGCAGCAGCTGGTGGTGCTGTAAAGCACAGTGGCTCAGTACACAGAGACCCAGCTTCCTTACCTGTAAAAAGGGGCTGTACTAGGACTTGGGGGAATTTGAAATAAACCAGCTGAAGAGCATGGACTCTAGGGTCAGTTGGATTTGTATACTGCTGTGTCACTTACTAGCTATGTGGCCTTGGGCAAGCTTCTTAATCTTTCTGGACCTCAGTTTCCCAGCTATAAAGTGGGGACAATAGTACCTACTCATGGTATTATTTGAGAACGAAATGAGTTAATACCTGAGAAATGTTCACACTCATACCTGGTACATAGGAAGCATTCCTCAAGTTCAGCTGCCGTGAGGATGATGTAAGGCCCTAAAGACAGTGTGTGCTTCTCCCATTTTGACTGGGGCGTGCCCCAGTCCTCCAGGCCAGGGGACCCAGCTGCGGGCTGCAGGGCTTTCCTAGCCCTGATCACTCCTGCTCTGTTCCCCCAGCACTCGAGTATTCATGGCAGAGATCATAGGTGGGCAGCCCACTGGTAGGCAGTGTGTACCACTCATCCCTTCATTTAAAGCAGCTTTCAATTGGATTTTTAACAGAGAAGAGTCAGAAGAAGGTTAGGGTTCAAGGCTATGAAATAAATTGGCCTCCTGCCAGTATAAGGGTTTCTGGGGAGTAGTACTTGACACCTCGCACTCACAGCCAGCTGTCAGCCTCGAAGCACTTAATGAACATTAATCTTCCTAAGAAGTCAGAGCGATCTGTAGGAACTTCATTTTCCTTTGGCAGCGGGGATAGACACAGGGTAGAGTCTTGGGAGGTTGCCACCAGAGCGGTCCTTCGAAGGCAGTTCTGACTCTCTCATCTTAGAGCTGGGGAAACCAAGCTCAGAGAGGGGAAGGGATTTGTCCAAGGTGACTCAGCACATTAAGTGTAGTAACAGGACTTGAACTCTGGTGGCCTGAGTCCCAGCCCAGTGCTGTTTGCGCCACCTACTCTGAGATTAGCCAAATTGTCCACAGCCAGACTGTTGAAACACAGGCCTATCGTCATGTCCAGGTTACCACCAGGAACTAGAAAGTCTTAGAGCTTTAGCAGGAGCAAATTATCAGGTGTATGATTTGGGGTCGAAGAGCCTGCCTGCTCCCTGTGCACGCATCATACCAGGCACAGTAGCTACGTTCTCTCGTGTCCTCCTCCCAGCCCTTGTAAGACATAAATTACCCATCTTATCCATT